AATTAATGCTTTATATTATATAGTGCAGATCATGGGCAATGAGCCACAAGGAATGAAAGTCAGAAGCCATTTGGAATGTCATTCTCGATACCTACGTATTTGTATAACTCCAAAAATGTATAATGAGAGTCAGCATAATTGGACCAAAGTAAAAAAGGCACCTTCAAGGTATATGGCATAATACTAACATTTCTTTAGATTTATTAGCCTGCATAAGGAGGTTGTAAGTTTAAGAAATATAGCATCTTTGTTTTTTGACACTGCTAACATTGCAAATGATATTCTGAAAAATATTACAGGCCATTTTTCCTTCATGGTCCTCATTTACTTCTCTCCTATTGGGCAGATCAGGACTTGGCTTTATGATCCTTTTATATCATGTCTATTACCTGTTCTTTTGTGAGAAATCAGAGCTATTATAAATGTCAAAGCATAGTTACATAATTTGAGCTCCAATCTCTTCCCTAGCAGAAAATTGTCCTGAAAACATTCGCAACCTAAGGCAGGCCATATACAAGATTTTTTGTGTGCTAATGATGGGTAAGAACTGTGCTTTTGGATGACAACCTAAGACAGACACAACTTTCTGCTCTGTGACTGATAAAATGCTTCTTATAGATTAAAAAAAAAGACAGGTAAGATTCTCTCAGAGGTAAATCAACCTAAGACAGGGAATGAATGCTACGATTCATGTACCAATGATGGGTAAGGTACACACTTTTTGAGGAGACACCTAAGACAGGTACAGTCTTTCTGTACCAACAGCTGAGACCACTTTGGCTTGTATAGATTTAAAAAAACAAAAAACAAAAAACAAACAAAAAAACCAGGAGCACATCTGGACTTAAGTTTGAGTGACCTCTTGCTTGTTCATGAATGAGTCTGCTGACATCTTTTTTTAAATTAAGATGTGCATTTTATCATGCCAAGTTCCTCCACTTACACATACATCCTTGAGAGACTCTCCTAGCCTGAAGGAAATGGCCTTAGTCATACATAGATATTGTGTACCATAAATTCTCCATGTAAGCATTTGTGGTCATTGTTAATCTTCCTAGAATTGGTGAAGCTTTGTGTTGCTTGCCTTTAAAAGACAGTGAGAAAATATATTTGTTGTTTGGCATGGCATTGACCAGCAGCCCTCCCATATCTGTGTCTTCCATCTTTCTGCCTTTCATAAAATCATCTTCACTCCTCAAGTCATCGTTCCCATGTTGACTGGCTAGCTGGCTCTGGCAGGAGCATCAATGGACAGAGAGGCAAGTTATTTATGATACTTTTCTCTTAGCCTTTATGGCATTACTGTTGTTAGAGTTGGAGAGAGTGACAATGAATAAAGGCTGGTCAACTCTATGGATTTGTGGAACTTGTGTGGAACAGCCAGAGAGAGCAATATTTTCAAAACAGTTGAGATAACACTAATCCAGTACAACCCATAGTGGAGTCTGATGAGCTACAACTGATAGTATTTATGTTGGAGAAGAGAAATATATAGATCTTGTGAAAATGCAAGGCATTTAATTCATGGTTATTCACTGTGTTGCTGAGAAGCAGCTACTGTAAGATAAAACATTTGGATTTACTGTGTGTTATTGAATCAATAATGCTGGTGGTGAAATTCATATGTCTTCATAGATTTTAACATCATCAGTTCAATGAATTGTTCTCAGAAGTAAAGGATAAATACCTTGACCTGTGACAGTAGTTCAGAGACTTAGCAATGATAAAGATATTGGATTTTTATTTGTTTGTTTGCTTGGTCTGTCATAATTTTTGTGTAAGTTCAGAACTGACACTCAATTTTTCCTGAAGAAAAAAAATTCTCCTTTGATAACTATTATAGAACATTGAATAGTTTTGAGGTGGTATTTGCTACAGGTCTGATAGTAGTTCTTAATAAATTCAACCAAAAACTATAAGGGAAAGAAGTATGTACATGTAAAGTGGCCTGTGGTAATAGTTACCAATGACAGCTAAACTTGTGTGAATTACATATTATTGAAGGGGACAAAAAAATATATGTGTATATGCATATAAAGATAATTATAGCAACTTATATACATTATATTTTGCTGAGTAATTTAAGTAAGATAAAATATCATAAAATAAAGTGTTTATGAAATGATAGTTATTTTGGAAGTCCAGCTTTGAGGAGGTGATACTTAAAAAAAAGAGAAAAAAAGAAAGAAAGAAAGAAAGAAGGAAGGAAGGAAGGAAGGAAGGAAGGAAGGAAGGAAGGAAAAAACCAACCATGGACAGAGAGAGCTAGAAAGATCTGTCGAAGACCCTTTTAAGTAGAGACTACAACTCATACAGGCTCAGGTGGGAATCAAGGATAACAGGTTTTCTAATATTTATTTCTGTTATTTTTAATTATGTATATGTGTGTATGTATGTGGGTATGTGCAGATAAATGCAGGTGCCTGCAGAGGCGTGAAACATTGGATTCCTCTGGAGCTGGAATCACAGGGGGTTGTGAGCTGCTCCACATTGTTGCTTGGAACTGAACTCAAGTCCACTGTAAGAGCAGTATGTACTCTTAACAGCTGAGCCACCTCTCTGGCTTAGAAAGGATAGCAAGTTTTATTTTATTTTATTTATTTTTAGTCTATGCAACTAGATTGATAGAAAGGAGTAGAATTATAGAAAAAAATGTCAAGTTCTCTTTTGGAAATTTTGAAATTCCTGTTGCATATCTGAATAAAACTATCAGGTATCAGTTGACTATATGATTCTGGAATTTAAGAGCAATGTTGTTTACCTGCCTTTGGTAGTCATTAACATGTAGATACTAACCATAAGAATGGATAAAACCACCTAAGAGATGGCAGCTAAGGACTGAATCCTGGCAGGATTAGTAATATAAATGAAAGTTAAAGAGGTTTAATAAAATCACAAAACATCAGAAAGGGAAAGAAAATCTCTGTCATCATGGTGATTCATCTTAACAGCCTATAGAGAGGTTCTTCTTGTTTGAGGCAGGGAATGAAGATATGCTTTTCATCAAGGCATTCTTGGAATAGTGCTTTTCATCATGGGCAACCAAGGGAGAGTGGTTTCTTATTGGGGAAGCCTGTGGGGAGGGGCTTCTCATCCAGAGCAGCCTATGGATTGAACCCAAAAATAATTTGTCTTCAGACTATTCTAGCACACCCTGTCAGACTATCTCTAAAATTGCCAGTATGGAGCCAAGTGAAATCAGCGTAGGCTGTGTCCTCTCTGAAGTTTTGTGCCTGGATCTTGTTAGATCAGGAGCAAGCAAATGGAATGTAAGGTCTGGCTATATCTAGCTTTATAGGAATAGAATTAGTTCCATACCAGCACAGATCAAGATGGGACTGGCAGAGCAGACCAAACAAGTTTTTTGCTCATCACTCTGCTATAATGAAGCTCATAAAGTCAGCTGTGTACCTAGAAAAGTTGGGAGCACTGGCTCTCTGCCATTCAGAAGCAATGGGATTTATGTCTGTGGCTGAAACACAGACAAACCAGTACGTTTCAAGGGGTGGTATTTTGTAAATCTGGGTAAGAGACCTTTAATATTATTCAGATACCAAACAGCCATAGGCCAAGCTAACCAACTTTATAGTCTCTACCATATTATTTCAACATATTCATATAGTGAACTAAATTCATATAATGTGGGCTGATAATGACACTTTTTTCTGGTACTTAATATGATGTCACATAGGAAGTGTAATGGTTTCAATAGGTGTGGCCCCTGTAGACTCATGTGTTTGAGTGCATGGCCAATAGGGGGTGGCACTATTAGGAGATGTGGCCTTGTTAGAATAGATATGGACTTGTTGGATGAAGTGTGTCACTGTTGAAATAGGCTTTGAGATCTTATGTATGCTCAAGTTGTGCCCAGTGGGACAGTCCCCTTTTGAAGTCTACAGATCAGGATGTAGAACTCTCAGGTCTTTCTCCATCATCATATCTGCCTGGATGCTGCCATACTTCTACCATGGTGATAATAGACTAAGCTTCTTGAAGCTATAAGCCATCCCTGATTAAATGTTTTCCTTTATAAGAGTTGCCTTGATCATGGTGTCTCTTCACAAACCCAAACTAAGACAGGAATTAATTTGTTTTGCTTAACAGCAGATCCATAAAAGTGGATATTCATACATTAGAGATTAGTATAAATTCATAAATTAGATTAGTTCGTTGAAGAAAAAGATAGTGTGATTACAGCTACTAATAGCCTAGTTACAACAAACTAATACATAGTTGAGGTGCCAATCTTTCTCTTTTGCTATTTTTACCTTATTAATGATTCTTTATTGTGATCTCATTATGTACACTAGGCTGGCCTGGAAGTCACTGTGTCAACCAGACTGGCCTCAAACTTACCTGCCTCTGTCCCCCGCCCCCACCCCCATTGCTAGGATTAAAGACATGTGTTGTATATGTTAATCTTGATGGAAAAACATTCTAGCAAGTCAAACGGGCCTTGGTTCAAACCTTTTGCTCATCTTTATGGACCTCAGTTTCCTCACTTACAAAATCAGCAAATTAATCCAAATATGTCGAAGACTCATTTTTTCAGTAGGTAACCATTATGAGTGCTCCTCTTCTTGGAGGTATCTATTCCATTCAAGGAGATGTGCTAAGTAATTTCTGAGCTATAAAGAACATATGTAGAATTCAGCCTGTCTGTCCTGCAGCAGAGAAGCTTGTGCACTGCAGGAGATGGAGCCACTCTCTGCCTCAACATAGTTGGGTATAAGTAATATCATTACTATTGTCAGAACTATTCTTCCTATTCTTCAGTCTCTGTGCAGTTAGAAAGTTGAAAATGGCTGCTGGGGTCAGCAGAAGAGTAAAGCTTACAGACAGTAACAGGAGCCTTATGCTCAAACCCTTTCTGGGGCTTTTCCCCCTAAAGTTTCCCTGTGATGGGCTCTGTGGTCAAAGTCTTGGCCTGGGTACCTCTGAGAGGCTTTGGATCCTAGTGGTCTAATGTTCTAACCCTGTTTTCTCTGGCTGTCTTACAGGTATGAGACATCTCTTTTGGATTTGGTTCAGTCTCTGAGCCCAAATTCTGCTCCTAAATCGCAGTTCCATCCCTCCAGAGCAGCAGGGACATGGAGTATTCTCCGACCTACCCCTCAGAAGTCTACCTGGAAGAAACTGGGGACACGTAGGAGCCCCGAAGACCTGGAGGAGAATCAGATTCTGGAAGACATATTTTTCATATGACTCTGAAGCTCATGCTACAGGATTTCCACAGGAAATATTTGGGTTCCTTTCCATATTGATATAGGATGTTAAATTGGAAAGTAGCCGAGTCTCTCCTTTCATAGAGACCTCTTGCTGACATCCTTTTATAGTATTCAATATAGAAACAATTCTAATAAATCAGGGTGTTTTTTTGTTAAACCAGTCAGCAGAAACAGACTAAGGGAGGTTGCTTATACCAAAGGATAAGGATCTTTTCTATACCAAACAGAAATTAGAAATTTGGGATACTTTGTGTGTGGCAGACTCCATGAATATCTAGTGTCATTTTAAGAGTTTTCAATTTACTACTGCAAAAAGTTGACACTTTACAGAAGAAACACTTTCCCATTGATAGAACTTTTAAGTATAAAAGTAGCCACTTCAGAAAGGCTCTTCTCTCCTCACCAATGCTAAGTGTGGCTCTTCATTCTGAAATTGAAGTTGGTGACCCTAATATCATCTTACATGGAATCAATACTTGTGGTCATCAACCTGGCCATTGCCACTCCTTAAACTAAAAGGCTTAATGACTTAGAGAGAAGTTCCCAACCAGACAGTAGCATTAAACCACATGTGGGAATGGCTGCCTGGGAAAATTTACCAGCGTCTAGGCAACCATCTCTCTAGTGTCCCATGATGGATGTTTCTTGTTGACTTCAATATCGGTTGTTCTTGTAAACTTTACTTATGATTGTGTCTGAGGAAGATGGCACTAGAGAAAAAATAGTGTCAAGTGGCTGCAGGTTGGCAGGCTCCTTCTGCCACCACCTCACTCCATAAGGATGAATAGTCCTACTCTGAGTGCCCATAGATGCATTGAGTCTACGAAAGCTCTGCTGGCTATCCTTCTTGACCCAGATCTAAATCTTTTCACTTCAGGCTGAGCTTAGACCTGTTGAGTCTACTCAGGCTCCCTCTCTTTAAGCCTCCCAATCTCATACTCTTCCTCTGAGGCAAATGCAAGAGCAAGACTAATTACTTGTAGTCATTCCCTGTGGAAATTGAAAATTCATTACAGATTCCAATTTCCTTTTCAAAGTCACTCTGAGAATAACTAGAATAGGCTTGTTCCATTTCAAAACACCTTTAGGATATGTCTTTGGAGTGGTAGAAATGGCCATTTTCTCAGTTGGGTTTCCATAAACATCTTTTCTCTATCTTGTGTGTCAAAGACAGCATAGCTATACCTATTTCTTTAGACCTGCGATAACCATAGTTACTACTCTGGGCATCAGTAGTCTTCCTACTCCAGTAATCTCCAGAAAGAAAAGAAAGAGAAGCTGATCTCTTTAAGAAGATTAGTTACCTGTAGAAGAGTTATAAACAGCCTAAAAACTAAAGCTTTTTTGGGATGACATGCTAGTGAATAGAATTTAATTTCTTCTTCACCAGCATGGGAAGTTTGAAAGAGGGAAAAAAAAAGAGTTTTCAGGGGAGCCTCAGTCAGCACACTTTATACATGCTAGTTGCCTTCTTTCTCCTGAAGGCGTTTATGTGTATACACACACACATACACATTAAAATCTAGTGACTTTGTTATTAACTGAATGGTGTATGTTAACATTTTAATCTGTATTAAATTTCCCTTGAGATATATGTGTTGTTGTAGCGTATTGGGGCTTGAGCTGATTGTAGCCTATCCCACAGAAGAATGGGAAGAAAGTAGAAGCCATGTGCCTCCCCTGATAATGCTTTCTTCGGTGGTTGGCTGGGAGTTGTTTGGCCAGCCCCTAGATGTTTCCTCAAAGCAAAACTGTATCAATAATGAAAATTTGGTATAACAAGATTCACCAAGGTCACCAGATAGTAAGGAACAGTTCAAACCCAGAGATGGAGATGGGGGTTCTTTTCTTTACTTCTTTTTCCTATTTTGAGTCAGTATCCAAACTCTCAAGACCGTGTTCTGCTGTCCAGTCATGATTTATCAGCCACATGGATTGGTAGCACATGAGAGCAGTGGGAAAAAGGGAGAAAAGGAAACAGGCCTAAGTCCCTTTGCAGTCTTGGTACAATTCCATGTTGCATGCAGCTCTCTCATAAAGGAGAAAAGAAGGGTCAGAAGAGAGAGCTGGAGATGGCGGGCTATGGACACTTCCACTGCTCCCTCCTGAGTCTCTTATCTACAGTGGTTAACATTTCCTTCCAAGTTTAAGGTTTCTAACTCCCCTATTTAAAGATACAAAGAACTCCCCAGGGCTTACAGGGCAAGAGGCACAGCCCTAGGGAGTTACATCAGGGCTCTCTGTCTCCATCTCTGGTCCCATGTCCCTTTGCTGCATCAGCCACCTCCATTACCTTTTCTCCTTTGCTCCCCTCTGCGGCTCGCTACTGTTAGACTCATCCCAATGACAAACTTCTCTTTCCGGGTCCTTGTGGGTGAATAATTTGAGACTATCTAAGTTGTTACCACTTTATGAAATTTTCCTATGTTCCTGGCACTGTACTGCTGGCTCCAGAAAGATTTGCAGATATGCCCAACCCATAACCCATGGGCCATATATGGTCAAGGATAGCTGTGAATGTGGCCCAACACAAAATTGTAAACTTACTTAAAACATTTTGAGCCGTGTTGTTATTTTTGTTTTTCACTTTTTTGTGTGTAACTTGATTGTGCAGCTCTCAAACATGAACATTGTATATAATAAATCATGTCATCTTGTTGCAGTGTCAAAAGCCTGGCCATGGAGCAAGTCCAGAGCCTCTGTTATGGCTCTCCTCATTATAACACATTGTACTGGGTACTGTTTGTCTTTCTTATGGACACTTAGAGTTCCAAGTGTCCAGGCTAACATATGCTATGTTGGAGGAGCCAACCTCACCATTGGTGACATACAGTTATGCAGGTGAGTTATTGATACCTTCTGAAGAATGATAACTCTACCTACAGGTTTTAGGCCTGACCCGCTGACCTAACCCTAAAAACTTAGACCAGAGAAAAACCAGAATGAGAAGGTCAAAGTTCCCAAGAATGTGAAGCTGGCAGTTGGAGGGCACTGGGACATGACTGCTTAGAACATGGAGCAACCAGCAGGCCCAAAGGCAGGGAGCAGTGTTTGTGTTAGAGAATTACAGAGGTAGTTGGCCAGAACAATTTCATTCCAGAGCTGACATCCCCTCCCCGCCTCTGTCATCTGACACCTGATTGTCTGACCCCAAGCTGGCACTTGCACACAGTTGCTTGCAGTGGACTCCCACCCAGAAGTTCTTTTCCCGAGGTGCTGCCTCACCCTCTCTTCCTCTACACCCTTTCCAGCTTTATATCCTGAGGTGGCCCGTAGACTCCTGAGATGAGGGAGACCATGTTGTATCCCAGTGAGATTAGGTGAGGTTTTCAAACCTACTCTGAGAGATTTTAGCTTGTTGGATTTACGTAACATTGGGAAATGGTAAACTGTATAAATTTTCTGTATTTTCTATGGACAGTTATTTATGGAGGGGCGTTTTTAACTCAAGTGCTAGAAATATTAAATCATCATAATAAATTCATGCTATTCAGACTTTCTTACAGTGTAATAATTTTTTTCTGAGTATGAATGAAGAGACCCATGATTTACTTAATATACCATTATGTATGTCTTCTCAGAGTGACACAGCTTACTTCATCAAGCTGGATAATAGCAGAAGGAGATTTACTGTGTCAGGGGTAGAAAAAGCTGAGTGATGCTGAATCTGAGAAGACACAGTTGAATCTGTGATAGCAAAGAAAACTCTGGTCCATTTGGGCTTCTTCCTGGGTTGGAAGGAATATCCATGCCAGGGTGGGTTTGCCTGGCATTACGCCCCCCCCCAGCTTCCCTCCTGAGCTTGGGAAGGGCCACTGAGCATAGAAAGTGGGATCAGAGATGCCGATGGCCTTGCATCTTGTTCTGTCCAGGGACAGATGACAGAGTGGGGCTAGGGTAGAAAGAAAAAATACATCTCCCCATGGTGACAGATACTTGTCCAAAGCAAAAGGCTGGTAGACCTCTTTCTAGAATCTTCTTCTACCCTTCTCTTTCCTCCTCACCTCTGGATTTATAGCCTTCCTCAAATTTTTAAGGAATTTGAGAAAAATTGAGGAATCACCAGTCTTGGGTGAACTCTGAAGTACTTTGACTGTCTTGGGAAAGTGTATGACTCTGGATTCTCAGCAGCATACAGAACAGTGGGCAGAAGGTCAAGGTGAAATGCACTGCTGTTTCTCTGAAGTCAATATAGGTAGAAATCTGAATGGCAGCACTGTCCTAGGCAAAGGAATGGGGTGTTTAAAGATGTGGAGGCTGGAGATCTAAGGTGAATGTGATGTCTAGTGTTGCCAACTTGGCTGGATCAAGAATCATCTAAGAGACAGTCCTCCAGGCACACTTTGAAGAACTATCTAGTTAGGTTAGCAGCTGAGAATGCTGGGGATTTTTAATGTTTTCAGGAAAACTCATCCACCGTGGGTAGCACCATTCCCTAACAGGGATAGGAAACGAGCACCAGTGCACATCTGTCTCTCTCTACTTCCCAGCTGCTTCAGTGTTCTGACTTCTCTGCCTTGGACTGTAAGCTGAAGTAAACTCTTTTTCCTTAAGTTGCTTTTATCAGAGTATTTTATCGTTACACCAGAAGAAATACCAAGGTAGTGAGCAAGCTCACAGACAGCCTAAGTCTGTGCTAAGCAAGGCCATGGGAAGAGATTTGTGAGGTTCTGACCCCTTTAACAGTGTACTACTCCCTAGTGCTTCATAAGCAGCCCAGCCTCAATTCCTACCTGTGTGGTATTACACAAATCCCTTCACCAGTCCAAACTGAGTGTTTCAGCCTACATAGCATACATAGCATAGACAATGTGCATATTCACACCTGCCTTTGCCCTTTCCTTGCTAAAACTAGGGATCTGATCAAATGTTGCTCGCATACCTATTGGGATGCACACCAGGCATTTTCACAATCTCTCTGAAGGCTGGCAGATGGCAGCAAGCCCCTCTGAAGCATGGAGAGCTAGGGACTCCATGACTGCCAGCAAGAACTGAACCTACCAACTCCTAATCATTGCTGCTTCCTACTGTATGCCCCACCTTAGGAGGGATTCCAGCTCCTTCTTAACCCCCAGTAGGGAAAATTACCACCCCAGTTTCAGAATGTTGCTTACCTGTTTTCCCCTTCAGACTGCAACGCTATTATCCATGCAGGGCCCTGACTTCTTAGTGCACCAGGCTTTACAGGCCTCAGCCTAGGTGAGTGTCAGCAGCAGGCAAAGCTGAGAGCTGTTCCAGGGCTAGGGCTTGTGAGCTATGGAGGCATCTCCTAGATACTGCTAATGACTCGTGGTCTTTTTCTTCTCCCCTTCCTCAATATGCCTCTCTCACACACCATGCACTGTCCTTTCACACCTGACCTCTATTCAGATTGGAATAACTAGTTCTGAGGAGGTAGCTTAGTAAAGTTTCCTGCTTTATAAGTATGAGGACCAGAGTTTAATCTCCAAAGCCCATGCCCAAAAAAAGCTAGGTGTTATGCTATGTGTTATTGTGCACACTTATAATCCCAGCATTGGAGAGGCAGAAACAAAGGGTTTACTCAACACCCAGGTTAGCCTATTAGGCAAATTTCTAGCCATTAAGAGATACTGTCTTAATAAAAGGTGGACAGTGCCTGCTGACTAACACCTATACACACATACGCGCGTGTGCGCGCACACACACACACACACGCACACACGCACGCACGCACGCACGCACGCACAGAGGTGGTGGGGTACCACTGGTGATACTGCTTTCTGTCTGGATAGTCATGCTGCTCCAGGAAAGAAAGGCAGAATGGACAGTGGACAGTTATTGCTCACACTTGGCCATAGTTGTAGGCTTTTATTTTTTTTCAATGTTTACCTTTAATTTTAATGGCCTGATACCTATATGTAGTACAGTGTGGGCTTAATGTGTGAAGACTAAGTAGGAACCACCCACCTATTTTATAGTGAGCTTAGAATACAGAAAGGTTGCAGAAATTATTCAAAGAACTGTAGAGCCTTAGCCAACAGTCTTTAGAGTTCACGTTGTTGCTTATTTGCTTGGTCACTCACTTTTTTCA